ATTTAAGTCATTAGTTGGTGTTGTGAGACACATCCTTAATGTACTCTGTTTCATTTTAAGTGCTTACGGAGAATTAGTTGCTCTTTCAAGGAGCCATATGGTCTAGACTGGATATGTTCACGAAACTATTTAATTGATGTCAATACTTCAAATTTGGTGGCATATTCTGATGATGGCTTCATCAAAATCCTCCATAGAATGAGTTGTATTACTTTAAAGTGATTCTTTCTATTTTTGTCATATGATATCCTTGAATTTCTGATATTTCTTTATAATTTATTCTTCCCATCTCTGTTCTCTCTGAGACTATGGTTCTCCTACTCGTGTTGCAATATGAAGGGGTATATAAGAAAAGTTTGGCATATGAAATGGCTTAGAATCTTTGGTGTGTGAACCCTTCATATCTCGGTAGAGCTTACATGTCAATTGCTCAAACTCACGTTTGAGAAATTCAAAAAAAATGAAATAAAATAATAAATAAATAAATAAAGGAAAAAAAAAAAAGGGACACTGATGGCACCTGGTGGGCTGGATTGAATTCGATTATTGAAGAAAAAGTAGTTTAACTTTGGTGCATTTGATGAAACTCTTGAGAAAAAATTGATTGCTAATTTGTTTTTTCTTTTGACCCGAAGTACAGAAGAGCAACCAATGAATCAGTCGTATGGAATCACGGCAGATCAAGAAATCTATCACACATGCTCGACAACCGAACTATGATGCCGGTCTCTGGCGCCAGATTGATTTTTTCTGCTCCCAAAGGCCTAGATGTTCAAATTCTAGAATGACTCAAAAATTGAGCAGATACTGATGATGATTTTTGTCCGAAACAATGGTAAGTCCAATTGATATCTATAAATATCCGCTTCAGTCAAAAGTCTGTCTGTTGCTATATTGACGATAAGTTTATAATGCCGCCTACTATTTTTCAATTGTTAAACTAACATATGAAATTGTTTGTTACAGTAACATTCTCCATCACATATTCACACAATAAAATATCCTATATATAAATCAATAAAGTTTCTTTAAATTTTAATCGTACATTCTCCAAAAAATATTATTCAAAATTCTATATTTTCTCCCATAATGGGAGACAAACAAACTCTATATTTAGTTCGTCCATAATATAATGACAGCTTTGTTTCTAAATATTTGGCTCCTGTTTCATAGCAATTTTTCATCCCAAAAAATAAATTTTTTGATCGTTATTTCACTATTTCAACCCTCATTTTTTATTTCTTCACTTATAGGTGTGACTTACTTTTCTCTTCAACGGTCAAAAAATTAATTCTCATAATTACTACCAGACAGACTCTTATAACTTACTGATGTGACAAATGAATTAGAGTCATGCTGTGTGCACAGCACGGCTCACAGCCCCTCACATAAAAAAATGGCGTGGGCCCCACAACACCTTTTGCTGTTGTACAAACAGCTTCTTCCATTGAATTATTCAATCAATTGACTTCCATTATATGATATGTGGTGACATGCTATCTTTCATCCATTGTTATTGCAGGAAATCTTGTTACGAGGGTCTATTTTGGATGGAGTTCTTTAATTGATGGTGTTTTAAAAATTGTAAAGCTTCAGGCTAGATGTAAAAAAGTATTTTCTTATTTTAATATTATTTTAAATTTTTAAATCAATCTAAAAATCTTTTAATAATTAAAGGGTAAAAAAATTGCGTCTAGCCTTTAAAAAAAAAAAAAAAAAAAAGCTCCAGGCAGGACATTTTGTGCCTATCAGGTGCACCTAGATGCCTCTTTTTAGAACACTACTAATTGATGAGCTAATTTCAAGTTCTTATCAACTCTTACCATTTGCCAGCTCTCATGAAGTATATCACTTGGAAAATCTCAAAACCTTTGTTCTAATGTGGGCTTGTTAAACCTGAAGGTCATAAACAGGTACAACAACTCTACCTCTGTGCAAAAATCATTGACTTACGTGAATTGTTTGCTGTTGAGAATATCTTTGTCCATCTTATCCTTTACGACCTTTTGTCTCGTCCCTTAAAATTTGAACCTAAAATCTCTGGCTTATGAAAGATGTAAGTTGAGTTTTGGTAGTAATTGAGCAAAAGTATAAGTTATTGGATTGGGCACAGAAGATCATTACAATTGTTGGAGTTTAGTGTAGTGGATGAAATCGGATTCATTCATACCGCATATGAACTTTACATGTTGGATTTATACATATCGTATATGCAACATACGGTATTTACGCATATCGTATTTACAGTTTACTGTATATGCAGCGTACCGTATTTGGAGCATACCGTATTTGCACAGCATACTGTATATGCTGCTACCGTATATGCATATATTGTTTTTAGATACCAATTTTGCACTTACACATATCGGAATTGCAGAACATCGTATATGCAGTGAACAAGACAAAATCTAGCAGTTTTAATTTTCAATAGAATAAACAAATTAATTTGATCAACTAATCTGGTTTGCCAAATAACGCAGATTAATTTTTAATAAGCATACATGGAACGACAAAATAATAAAATTGCAAGTTATATGAATCACACAAATAAATCTCAGAAATATATAAATAACAGATGAGTTTTCAACTCGATGCCTGTGCGAGCACAATTTCCTTAAAACATATTCGCCCCTTCACCGTAAATGTTTGGGATTTAACCCGAGTGTCTGTTTTCCAGGATACAATAGTAAACCAGTAAAATCTGAGCACCACAAATATTATTCCGACGAACTGATTAGTATCCGAACAATATCACCACCAAAATGACGTTGACAGAAAAATTATGTATGCAGACAGACTGAACGACATTGTGATGCATAACAGTTTTTCTCTGTATTTTGTATATGCAGTATTTTCGTGTGTTCTGAAATTGCTGGAAAATGAGAATTTATATAGATAAATCTGCCATTAATTCTTTGGCAATAAATATTAGAGTTACTTCAGTTTCTAAAACATGGAAACTCCAAGTGGGCCAATTTTTGCTTGTTCGGTCCGACATTCATGTGCGCAGGCCGCGTTTACACATAAGTTCAAAGTCCGAAGGTTATTTCGATCCGTGATTTGAATGGAGATAGTCTCTATGCTACACATAATTACACCATTCCAATGTGCGACCATATTTAAAGTGATTTTTGCTTTCATATTTTTCCTATGTAGGACAAATTCAATTTTTTCTCACATAAATCATCTTCCAATGGTCAACATTGAGTTCTAATTTCTCATTCACCCGAGTTTCATTTTTGGCAAGTAAATATATGATTTCGATGCTCTCACGAAGGAGAACACAAATCAACTTTGATATTTCAAATTGGACCAACGGCTCCCACCGAAAATTGTGTCAAAAGTGAGTCATTTACTAATTTTTTCCAACAACAATTACATTCAAATATAAGCAGGTAAGAAATAATTTGATGTGTAGGATGCAAACGTCTTTGTTCCTGTTCTCCACAATATCTTGTTGGAAGACTCACGAAGTAATACTAACAAGTTCAAAATCCTTTTGAATCAAGCATTTATGCTTCCTTCTAAATTCTATTGACTTGTACTAAAAATCACGCTTTAACTGGAATAGAGGAAATACCCTTAACTCATTCTTGGACTCTGAAACTTGTAGGATTCCCAGTTTGGATGATATACGTATGAAAATGGACGGTGCATTGTTCCTCCCAGCCATATTTCCACATTTCTCATTCAAACAATTATTTAGACCTTTTCAAGGTCGTCTAATATCATTTTAACAATTATATTATATATTTTATTGCTCTCAAAAGTTCATTTTATTTTGGGTTTATTTTTTCTCCCCCTCTCAAAAGTTGTTGCACACATCTATCTTGATCGCCACTAGCGGCCCCACATGGGGTCATGTGGGGTCAAATGACCTCACAATTTTTTAAATTTTCTTCTTCTTCTTTTTTCCCCTTGCTTAATTTTCTGTCAAAGTAGTGAACCAACCAAATTAATTTCCCTAGCTCAATGCTCAAAAAATCCAAACCCAAATCCTATTATAGTAGCATATGATCTTATTTTCGTTAATGATACGTTGTTCGAAAAAATATTTCATTTTTAACCCTACAGTTCAAATTGTCTGGGTCCACCTTTGTTGATCGCTAAACTGTTTTCTCTTCTCTTCATCGACGATTGGCCTAAAACTCGTTATCATTGCCCTCTATTGCTATACGACTTTGGAATTTGGTCCTGCATCTGTAGATGATATAACTTTGAATGTGTAATCATCTATATTTTGTGTAATGTATTGTCATTCTATTTGTGATTCATGAACTGAAAATAACAATGTTTATTGCCCTTCAAGTTGATTTACAACTCTTATGTAAGACAAGTCTTCAGTTCTTCCTAAAACGTAGTACTCGAAAAGTATCATTATGAATCTAAATAATTGGTCCATGCCATGTTTTATGCCCCTTGAAATCATAAGGATGTTGCCTTCTACAATCATGCCAATACTCGATGCCCTTTTGGAGCCCTTAACGTTGGCTATGGTCGTGTAGTTCATGTTAATGTTCAAGGCAACCTCTCCCTTTCACCATCTCATTCCATAAAAGCAAGGACAAAAAGGAATGGCTATGAAGAATGGCCTTTGTCTCCTATGCAAGCCTTTGGGGGATAGACATTGACTGTGTTATTAGACATCGGAGAATCATTAAACCCACTTTTTTTCCTGAGTGACTCAGGTGTTCGAGTTTCGTCCGACTAATCCCGAGGAGTGACGACATTCTCCCTTGGTTCATCACCCAGATAAATTTAAATGCGGTCTCATAGATTATACACATTTGGGTCGAATATTCGAGTTGTGGTTCTCCTTCCGTGCATACCATAACTTTGCTCCAGAAGACATCTGTCTTCCAAAATAAATGTTGCCTTCCAACTATTGCGAAAATTTGAGCCTCCGATACTCTAAAGAGTCATTTACCCAACTTGTTATTTATGGAGGAAATGGTCCCTCACTTATTGAAGGTTTTGGTTGCATCCAAATTTACTTATATTTTCCAAGTCTCGTTTGAGACAAAAGAAAGAGAATCTACCTCAATTGTAGATCCATCCCCTCTTGAACACCGTCTACAAGACACTAGAGGTTGAAAAAGGACTCGTTGGTCCCACATTGAGTTAGTGCATTTGTTTTTGTACTCATCGGTACTGTCATAATTTTAATAGTGGGACTTATCAAACGTGTGCATGAAAAATCTGTTTTCATTTCCAAATAATAACATACCCGCTATATTGTATAATATTAGTCCCCTTAACCATTATTAGGAAAACAATGTTTTGTATAGTGCTTTTTTAGCAAAATATGATTAAAAGTAGGAAAAAATTTAGAATTTACGTGTATAATATTTTATTGTGTGAAGGTGTGATTAAAAATGATTACGTAGAAAAAAATAATTTTCAAATAATAATTGTTGAGCAGAGACAGATAAAATTGAAAGAAAGAAAAAAAAGTATCATAATTTCAAAAATGTATATTGAACGTGTTCCAATTGACGGTCGAAATTCATTTATGTCGTTTTCTAGTCCAAATAATAAATAAATAATTATTTGCCATGATGACACAATATGGTATATTTTTTTTAATGTATGATTAAGAACGTCTCACCAAGATCTTGTGTTGATTTCCCCAAGTTTTTGTGTCACTTTATCTAATTTAAAAGTGTCCCGAAATTGATCATGATCTCCGTATATAATGCATAGCCATTCGTGAAAATTGAGAACTAGTTCACTCAAATTTATTTATTAAAAAAAAAAAAAAGGTTGAACCCCAACCTTGAGAGTTCCCACCACCTCGCCCCTGGAGCCTCATGAGGGGGGTAAATTACAGAATGTGCCCCAATTGACCAGAGAGCAAGGGTTTGTCCGTGCACTGATGCCTACAAAATGTTATGACATTGTAATTATATTGGAGAACTCGAAACATGGCACATTTGACACCGTTTCCCAAAAATGCGCCATAGTGCGCGTGATTCTATCATTGCATGGAGCATAGACCATTATGAAAGTCAGTGTTCTAAAATGCGTAAGGTATTGTTAGACTTTGAATTGAAACTTCAAGCATTACAAGTTTAAGCGGGCCTAAGCGAGGTTTAGTCGTAAAACACATTTTTTCATTTATAATATTATTTTTAATTTTTAATCATTTTAAAAATTATTAAATAATTAAAATAATACATGTTAAATATCTAAAATTAAAATACAATATTTACCTAATAACTCCTACCATTAATCAATTATACAATTTTCAAGTTTTCGAATGCAAACATTAGAATATTTTTTATAGTTTCAATTTTCAATTAGACAAATCTTTCTTAATAGATTTATCGAAACTTTATACATGCTTTTAGAATTTGTAATAAAATCAGTCTCAAGATCATAGTTACATAACGTTGATAACACCAAAATTTAAATCTTATTTAACTATTCAAATAAAATTATTTTTAATTTTTATACAGATAAAATCTTTTAAAGTTTTGAAATTAAAGCGCGTGTACAAAAGACGAGATGAAGAAAGAATTCAACTATTTAGAAATTGAAAAAAAAAAAAAAAAAGCGCTTGGGCGTTTTGTCCGAGGAGTGATAGAAGCCAAAGCCAAACAAACAACAGGCAAGGAAAAGAAGCACGCGCACCGTACAATTCCCACTCGCCGCCGCCAGTGACGGGCCGCCGGACCACGCACTTGCTTCTATACATATACGTGTATCTCCATGCACTGTCATCTTTGCGGCGTGTTGAAGAATTTTTAATATCATAAATTGTCGAATGGAGCTGTTTGATTCGCAATTGGTGATTCATTGGCCATTTTAGGTAATAATCTTTGTTCCAGAATTCATGTTTTTTCAATTTTAAAATTTTTTATTGTCTTTTTTTTTCTCCTGGAATATTCATTGTCGATTATGTTATAATTTTTGAAGTTTAGTGATTTAGTTTTATGGGGTTTCTCAATCTTTTGATTTGTGCGTGATATGTGGTTTCGTTTGATGTGCAATTGATAATTAATGATTTAGTGTTCGGATTAACGCGGGAATTTGTTTTTAATTTTGCTTGAATTTGATTATTCTTCCATTTTTGTCAACAAAATATGTTTCCATGTATGATTTTCGTTGTCTAGTTCTGCTTAAAGTATTATAGTAGCAAGATTTTATCGGTATAAGACTGGGATTTGTCAGCAAAAAAGGGGAGCTGATCAGGTTTGGAGGTTTTCTTACATGTTAGCCAAAATCATAATAATCAATTACCTCCCAGAAATGGAAATCTCCCTCTGCGCGGGTATTCATTTTTCGTCCTATCAGGCATAAAGTTTGAATTTGGCCTTCACTAAACCATCAAGTAAACTACTATTTTTTTAACAAGGGCAAAGTGTTTAAGATCAACTGTTGAGGAAGCATTGTCCCAGGTTACTGGTGAATTAGACGTGCCAGTGGGTATGTCATCCCTATGCAAGATTAACCAAGCTGACGACCATATAAAATTCTCTTTGATAATTCTTTGAAGTTTGTCTTAATCGCTATTCTGCAGTGTTCATTGATTGGCAAGGTTTTTCTCAATTTAATTTGATGAATCTATATATTTTGAGTACTTCGTTAAGGCGTTCCCATTTGTTATGAGTGGGGTGAGACCATCGATAACAGATTGGGTTCCTAGTTCACAGAGGCATACTTGCATACGTGCTACAGACTTTTTTGGAAGTATACTAAGTCATAACTTAAAGAAAGAGAAAAACGTGCGAATCATAAAAATTGGGCAATCTGAGCCATACACTTTTTTGTAAAAACCAAGTTTCGGAAAGCATAGAAGTCTTATTTATTACAAACCAGAGTTCCTTACAGATGTTCTGATACCTCTTCAAGCTCAGCTGACAGTGTTTGATTCAGTTTTCTTGCTACTGCTTATTTGAGATTTATGGAAATGTGATCTGAAGCCAGTGCTGTAAATCTACCTTCATATTATATCGTGACCCTCAGGTTTGATTCCATTCAAGGAAAAGCTTAGCACTGTGTATGATTACTATGCAGCCAGGAGAAACAAAATTAGCTCTAAGAGTTTAGTGCTTGTGCAATTCGAAAACTACCACTGCTTCTTTAATTTATAGAAAAAGCACTCTTAGCTTTGAGCTCCAGACAAGCAGCCCAGAAGTTCACCACAAATAATTTCTGAAAATAACAAATTTTACTAACTGAGTTAGATGGTCAGTTGTGTCAAGTTGGGCTGCTTTAAGATGGTTTGAGTGATTTTCAACACCATTGCTCTGTGGTTAAAATGGACCAGGCAATATTGACCAAAATGTTTTATCATAAGTCCATTATAAGGGCACAGTCTCCAAATGGTATACATCATTTGTTTCTAGTTCCTGACAACAGAAGATAAAACTTGTAGGCATATGGTCATTCATTAAAGTTCAGTTACATGTATTATTATCATGGATCATGTGAAGAAATGACAGACTTTAGTTTCCTTATATTTACTTGGCTACAAAAAAATATTATACTTTGGACCACTTTCTAAGTTTGGCTGTAACGCTGAAAGTAGAGAATTCTCAAATTTGAGATGTCTCTTATCTCTTAAAATTAAGAGAACAGGTATGTTAAGACCAATTCTAAACAAAGGCTTGACAGCAATTGGACAGGACCAGTATGAAATAAGTCCCTGTATGAGTATTCAGTCCTTGCAAGATCAAATCTAATTCAAAAGTTATGCTTCACGGGCATTGCAGATTTGTTTTTAATCTTTCAATGTTGACTTGTCTGAGCAGATCTAAAGATCTCTTTCTACAACTTTCGAACTAGATTAGTAAAGGTTTCTTTTTTTTTTTTTTTCCCCTTCCTCTCCCTTTCCTGAGCATTTGTTTCAGTAGATTGTAAATGCATTATCAGTTTATTTATTCAAGGTTTGAGTTTGATGGGTATTCTTATGGTGCAGGTGTTCTAGGTGAGAAGAGAAATTAAGCTAGTTCTCAGTTAAAATTTCTATCATTTACCCACAAGGCAAATATGGAAGCACGCCCAGCTTTATCTATTCAAAGATCGGGTGCAAGACAACTTGGTAACTGTGGAGGATCAGGGACTTTACCTGTTAATCCGACATCTTTTGAAGAGAAATATCCAAAGTTATGGGACTCCCAGCAGGTTTGCACAGAGAGGGAACTCATGCAACATCCTCCAGCAGTCCTTTCACCTTTGTCTTCTAACAGTGGGGTTGTTGGTCATATATTTTCTTCGTCCTCAGGATTTTCTAGTGATCTTCATTTTTCATCCGCCCCAAAGCAAGAAAATCATCTACGACAAGCCCCTTTCATTTCTCAATCGTCAAATAGTGGGACATCAATAAATTTACCAAATTCTTGTGATTCTGGAATTCTTCAATCCACAGCATCAAGCCAATATACCAAAGAAAATAACAGCTCTTCTTGGTGTCCAGATTCACTGCCTGATTTTCTTGATTATTCATTTAGTACCTCAATCCAGAATAGTCAACTAGATAGTATTAACAGTGGTGATGTTGGCATTTCATCTGAGGATCTTAGCAAAAGAAATGATTGGCAGGAATGGGCTGACCAGCTTATTACTGATAATGATCCTTTGACCTCTGATTGGAATGAGCTTCTTGCTGATGCAAATGTTGAACCGAAGGTTGCACTCTATGCATGACTTTTGAAGTGTGCTTGCTTTTACAATTTTCATTTTTGCTTCTCTTCATTGGATAATCGGTACTATGCTTTTTCTTTGTTCATGAAATATAGATGCAGCATCAGATGTCCGAACAACCAGTAAATTTTTCATTGCAGCAGTCCCAAATACCCCACCAGCCTCCAGATACACCCGGAGAAACTAACACAGCTGTTGCTCAATCATCCTCAGCAAATGTGGCTCCAGTAAAACAACGCATGCGTTGGACTCCAGAACTTCATGAAGCCTTTGTTGAAGCAGTCAACAAACTTGGTGGGAGTGAAAGTAATTTCCTTCTTTTCCTTCTTTAATATCATTTGATCATAACATATTGGCTGGCTACTCACGTTAATAATTCTTCATAATCCCAGGATCTACTCCCAAGGGTGTTCTGAAGCTAATGAAAGTTGATGGTTTGACAATTTATCATGTGAAAAGCCACCTGCAGGTTTGTTTCGTTGTTTTGTCATAAAAATTTTAACCTGTAATGATGACTCTCACTGCCATCTATTTATTTATGGAATCTGTTTCCTGAACTTCAGAAGTACAGAACAGCTAGATACAAGCCAGAGACAACAGAAGGTGTGCAACAACTTCTTCTTCACCTTTTGCTATAGTTTTACTCAAAATTTAGTATAATTTGACTACTTTGATTCTTTGTTCTAAGATAAATACTGGAGATGGCTGGTGTGTAAGTTAAAGTAGTAGATGGATACATGATTATGTCACTAGTTCGTATGAATTTCTTTGTTTCTTGTTTCAAATTGATCAAGCTAATATTTTGTTAAGATTGACTTGGTTTTGAAGTTTGAAACTTTTTAAAAAGTTATAAATTTTCCTGTGTACTTAATTCTTCAGTTTTGCCTATTTATTCTCTCTGTAACTGCAGCAAATGCCTTTTCATTTAGTTCTCGTTGTTTTTCTATTTCCTTTCAACTAGTTGGCATGTCATAATTCAAATTGCATTTATTTTTCCACGTGAAGAATCTCAACTATGCTTTTGATTTTCTGGCCAAAACAGAAAGGACCTTGTTAGTTTAACTTCTGCACTCATCAGGTTGAACTCTACTCTGAGCCTTTAATATGTAAAATGGTAAACAATAGGGGTTTTTTGAAGGTGATAAAAAACAGCAAGAAGGTTCTTCAATTATGGAGGGAAACATGACTATTTATATGTCCTTATATGACAATAACAAGATAGCTTTTCCATGAAGTAATGGAAAGAACCATGGTCATGTAAATACTAAATAGGATAGTCTTTGCTAGAATAATTGCTCAGAATTTCTAGTGTGGGAGAATCCACGTTGACTCATGGACCCTATAGCCCAAACAAGCTGTCTTTTATACAAGTAAAAAACCTATGATAAAATCACCCTACTATAGTTACTACCAACGTAGAGTACTTAAGAGAAATTTTGTCGATAATTTTTTCAGTCGCTATTACTCGAGTTTTCTGTTGATACCTGTCGTGTAGAATGTAGAGCTGCTCAAATTGAGTCAGAGAAACAAAGTTGTTTCTTTATACTATCTGTATCATATCTGAAGCCAAAAACATCAGTTTTAGATCAGACCCTTTTTAGACTATGATTTCTTGCACCTAATCAGCTAGTGTATGGCTGGACAAGAGGTTTGTGCCAATCAGCCAGTTTAAATGGGTAGCCATGGTTTTACATCGTAATCATGAACTCCAGTTTTTTGTTCTTACTTCAGAATTGTGTGTGGTTAATATTCATGGCTTTTTGGATATGCTGAATCTTATGAGACAGCAATTTTTGGTCATCACTTTGAAAGAAACCCCTTTCTCCTTTCGCAGAATCTTCAGATAAAAAACTACCTTCTGTAGAAGAATTGTCATCATTGGACTTGAAAACGTAAGTATGATCAACCCCTTGCAAATATTATTACACAATTTAGGATTTATTTATTTTTTAACTTAAATATGAGCATACCACATTGTGCACATATATATACACACACATATGCATACATATATGTGTGTGTGTGTGTGTGTGTGTGTTTATACATATACCTATACATATATATGTGCGCGCGCGCGTTGTGTGTGTGTGTGTATATATATAGTGTGGATAATATGCATCTACATGTAATTAAGTAGAGAGAATAGACTATTAGTTCTTTCATTATTCTTTTTATACATAAGGGCTTTGGCACTGATTATTATTTACTACAAGATGCAAGCATTGGAGAGTGAGGGAAATATGGTTGCTCAAGTTGACCATAATGATCACAGATGTGACAATTTGTGGTTGGCTTTGGATACTCATACGATAACCCTTTCTCTCATCCCTCTCATCTGAAAACAGAAGGAAAAAGAATTTATTTATTTTTATTCTTTCTATGTTCCCTAAAATTTAAAGTTCAAACTATTAGTTATCTTCCTTATATTGCAGTCATTTCTTATGATTTTCTGGCTAAGCCTGGAGATTTTCACTCCTGGATGAAGGATGTTTATCCTACTTTCCTCTAATCAGCTTCTTTAATTTCGAGGACGGACCTATGGCTTTTTTCCTCTGTTTATCATTATGTTTTCCTTGCTACAAAAAGTTCCTCCAGTGATATAAATGTTTGACAACAATACCTACTAATCTGTAATTTGTACCTAGTTGATTTTGTTAATAGCTTGCATAAATGGCTTATGAAATGGTGAGGACTTGTGGAAGGCACTTGTCATAATGATATCATAATGAGTATCTACTTAACCTAAGTAGTACAAGTGTTATTATTTGGATCCTGATTTGAAATTGAAATTCTAAGAAAAAGTACTTAGGGTTTTGATTTTTGAAGAATTTCAGACTAGGAAGGACTCCACATAATTCATTTTGTCACGCCAGTAGAATGAATGAAACTACAACTCTGAATGGAGAGGTCCAAGTATGGAGGAGGGTTATGATTGCTTCACATTTTGTTGTGTTAATAGAGAGTAGTTGCTTAGCAAACAATTGGTGCCCGTCTTTCTTAAATTACATGATATTTAGTATGATGTTCGTTGCTGGAACATTGTTCAATGTGAAGCGTGGACAACCAGGAACTAGGAAATATTCATGCATTGATTTTAGTTTGAATCAGAATGGGGGACGAATATGGAACTTCTCAGAAAATGGTGCTCAGCTTGTTATAACTAATAAATTGAGTTGCATCCCCCTTCTGTTTATTGTGTCCCATCCGTATTTCTGCTTATTACTTCCCTAACTGGAAAATAGGGGAATCGAGATTACTGAAGCATTGCGGTTGCAAATGGAAGTGCAAAAGCGTCTACACGAACAGCTTGAGGTATGAACTGATAATAGAATTATTTTCCAATTTGAACAGATCATCAAACGCTATTATTTAGCGGGAGGCATGAGATGAGAAGTTTTAAACACGTTCCATGCATCTACCTTTACATGTGCGATAACGTGAAGCATGTGGCACAACCCACTTATATAACACTCGCTTTGTTGCCCTTCATCGTGCAATTGTATAAATTGTTAACATGTACAAATATATGCAGCTGTAGCCCCATGTCTTCTATGAATCTTCACCATTAGGACTAGTGACATTGAGATCATGCTCCCCTATCATGTAGTCATTTAATGAAACTATCTTAGCAAATGGTTACTCTTCTCTGATGGTTTATAAGTATCAAATCTGCAGCTTATAATATTCCATTCTGCAGATTCAAAGAAATCTGCAACTTCGAATAGAAGAACAAGGGAAATACCTCCAAATGATGTTTGAGAAACAATGCAAGTCCGGTGCTGACTTGGTCAAGGGGACTGCATCGACTATAGAGAACTCTATCGAAGAGTTGACGGGTGCTGCACAAAATTCTCCTGCCAAAGATGATTCGGGATTACAGGCAGGTATCAGCAAAACAGGTGGTGACCAATCTAACTTAACCATAGCATCTGGAGAAAATTCTCTAGTTATAGGAGAGAAGTTTAAAGAACTGGAGACTCAAGTTCTTGAAAATTCTGAGGCAACTATTGATGGCACGTCACCATCCTCAAAGCGCACTAAAGTGCACGAATAGGCCAATGTTCATCTTGTAATACTTCGTATGACTATCATTTGATAGATGTTCAATTAGTCTTTGAGACAGAGACAAGACCCCATCTAGTCCATCCGGCTTTTGAGATTGGATTTGTTTCTTTCTTATGTTTTAGGGAACGAGCAAACTTGTGACTCCGATTGTCATTTTCTGGGGGTCTTTAGATTGTTGTCTTTGAGATAAGCATGGACATAATTAGGAAGTTTGGGGTGAAAATGACGGCAACACTATTGTGTACCATGATATCTGTACACATCTATGCTTCGTACAATTTTTCTCACCCATGATTTAATAATATGGGTTGTTTGAACATGAACGCACTCTGTTACAATTTGCATGTCTTTCGGTGCCTAGGCCCGTATTATAGACGGTCAAAATAAATTTGACTGCCCTTTTCACGTCTTCTTTTACGAGGGGCTTCCTTCACACATCATACTTAAATCCTGCCTTTTAATCCCTTTTGCGACCCTTCTCTGTGGGGGATTTGTATCCATATCCATCTAAATCCACGCGACATTACGCAATGAAATAATGAGACATCCATTTTGAGTTCTTGATTAACAGTGGAAAATGACCTTAATGGATGATAAAAAATTATCGTTTCCAGAATATCACATCACGTCGTGGAAAAAATACTACAAATGTTGTAATCTTAAAATGACTATTACAAGATTAAAAAAATTAGAAGTTCAAAATAAACTTACAATGATTCATTCCCTTTAAAATTTTAATACATTTTTCTCTATCTTCTTTTCAACCACGTATTCTTTAATAAAATAAAGTTACATGATAATTGTGTTTTTGCACACTTATTTAGGTCACAAACATGATTTAATTACGAATAAAATGATTGAATTGTGACTTTATTTCCTTACATTTGTGAATTGTAAATAACACCGATGAACATGGTGAAATACATGAGAAAAGACGCGAAAAAGGACTAAAATGACGCAAAGTGAAAGTTCAAGGACCAAGGTGCAATTACCCAAAAGTTGACCCGATGAACAAATCAAGAAATTGAGTTTGCCAAATACAAATTGATGACATTTTGGGATGATGGAATGTGAAGAATGAAGAAAAATGCAAAGAAGTGGAAGATTCAAGTAGAGGGACCAATTTGCAGAAAATGAAAGTTGAATTCTACCATGCGACCGCATGGTAGAACTCTCGTGCGGCTACACGAAGGGATGCAGGGAATTCAATTGGAAATATAGAATAACCACGCGGCCGCACGGATTAAAACCATGCGGTCGCATGGCTATTTGTCCAGTGTGATTTTTTTCTTTCCTTATACGATTGAAACACTTTTGGTAACCTAATTTTCCATGGAATATAAATATCAAAAACATTCCAGAGACGACCAGAATGCAATTGGATGCCAAAAAACACTTCTTTGAGAGGATTTGAGCGCAAGAACAAGGATTGACACGAAGAACTTCAAGATTTCTTCAAGATTTCATAACCCGCTGATGTCTTTTATTTAAAACATGATGTATTTTGTTATTTTAAATATGCTAGGCTAGATTCTTATTATGCTAGAAGATCGATGAACCATGTGATTTGAATTTTAATATCCTCGTTTTGCAATTTGATGTTATGACACAATTTTTATTGTTTTGAATGATTTATATGCAATTAATGTTTTTGCAATTAAGGGCTCATAATTGTGTGAATTTAAGTGATTTATTCTTGCATTCGAGAGAATTGTAATAGATTTGACATAATATAAATCATCGTAGGACCCGATAGTAGATAGAAATATACCACGATGCCCTACGTGAATCTTTAAGTGTTCATAAAATCGCATGCATTTTTACATATGCTCTTGTAATAGAAATATAGACCAGTAGTATGTAGAAATAGGTTTGATGCATCTCGAGAGAGAGTATTGGATAAACTTAGGAACATTGATTTGTCACAATTGAAGTGTGTTGTCCTATTGTGAAACTAGGGTTTAAAGTGATAATTGCATGAGAATTCGTGATCCTAGCGTATTTAATTTCTATTGATTATTACTACGTGCGTTCTCGACTTTTAGTTTTTTTCTAGAGTGTTAAAATATTGTTTTGAGTTTTAATTTCAATTTACTCATTAAATTTGCGTAATTAGGGTTTCTTTTTGAAATTAGAGTTTTTAATTAGATCCATATCCACTTTGACAATCCTCGTTTTGCAATTTGATGTTAAGACACAATTTGTATTTGGCAAACTCAATTTCTTGATTTGTTCATCAGTTCAGCTTTTGGGTAATTGCACCTTGGTCCTTGAACTTTCACTTTGTGTCATTTTAGTCCTTTTTCACGTCTTTTCTCATGTATTTCACCATGTTCATCAGTGTTACCTACAATTCACAAATGTAACGAAATTAAGTCACAATTCAATCATTTTATTCGTAATTAAGTCATGTTTGTGACCTAAATAAGTGTGCAAAAACACACTTATCAAATCCCCCAAACTTGAACTATTGTATCCTCAAATAAGATAGTGACTAAATTCTGAACAAACATGGCTTAATACCTTGTTACAGCTCAGGATTGGACTAAGTGTTTGATTTGATGAAGATATATCAGTGCAAAAATGATATCAACCTTCGCCTGTTAAATGCGTACTTGACGTATGTGTGTGAGTTTATGCCAACATATTAGGTTCATGATGGATTTGAGTCCCGACCCCGAGTGGTCAATTTTATCCTTACTCGCTTGAGAGATACACAAGCCCCCAAACTTACGTTTTTTTTTTTCACTCAATTATCCCAGGGTTGTGTTTCGAAACTAGGAATTCACATAGCTGTAGTCCTCACCCTCTCGTAGTTTGGATTAATCTCACTATCACAAGTTTGCATTTCGACAAGTGAAGGCTCTCCTAAGTTTGATCGCTTCGACACTCAAGATTAAACTAGGTTACTTGCCTTGCCTCAAAGGTATAGTTTCTTTAACCAAATGTCCAAGGGCTTTTCTTCATGTTATCGTTTCTCTTTTCTCTAATTTTTCTGATTTTATTATTAAGCTTCTCATTTTTTTTTCAGTTTCATCTTCTCATTTGCTTTCTATATAACTCATGTAACGAGTTTTAGACCGGTGACTCCCAAATCAATTGGTTTTAGGGCACCAGGTTTTAAACCCTTGCAGACTTATTCACTCGAGTTATAAATGCTCGATCAGATGACTTTCAATTAACATCTTTCCCTCTTGCTTTCTATATGACCCTTTTAGCGAACTTTAGGCCGGTGACTCCCAAGCCAGTTGACTTTAGGGCACCGGATTTTGAAATATCCTTACAGGCTTACTTGCTCGAGTCATAAATGCATGAAAAGAAGTGTATTGTTCTCACAAATTTATTTTATGCCCTTATTGTTCTAGACATTTAGTTTTCAAAACTAACCCTTAATTTAAGATTTTCACCTAATTTTCACCTCACTGGTCTAGACAAGCCACACAATAAAATTCATGCACGGAGCCTCCACTCATCTCAATGCTCTCTTACAATAGCTCAACAATCACCAAACTATCTTAAGGTAGTTACGATTTAATTCAATAGAAGGTTATCATTCTTTTTCTATTTTATGCTCAAAATCTAGTCATTTATCTAATATGTCAAGCATGAATAGTGTGCACAGATAATGTCAAGTTTTGCATCAACAAGTGTCAGCTAGCCTAGTTGCATCAGATCCAAAGATTTTGCAGTTTAAACTAGTCCAATTATAACATCATAGCTAACAAGATTATCAAGCCCACACAAGCATGCATGAAAAGAATTAAGGCAAAATTGAATAAAATGCAATTTTTTTATCTTGCACACATACCGATGAACACAGATAACACAGTTACTTAGTTAAAATTATGTCACCTCCCCAAACTTTGTTACTACATTGTCCTCAATGTAAAATTAACAGGAGATTAAAGACAGAATTTTACGGACAACATAAAAAGGAAAATCCAAAATGTGGTAAATAGTACTTCCCTTGAATCAAAATGGATGAGGTGGTGGGAAACTAGGTCTTGCTGTACCATCATCCGGTAGAGGAGGGTGTCGTCCAAGGAGTTGCCGCATCATCTCATTCATTTCCCGCATCAAGGTAGACTGCTGTGTCTCCTCGACCTGGATAGCTCTCATGGTCTCCCAAGTTTCATTGATCTTCATTTGGATACCGTCCACCCGACCAACATACATGTTCAGCCGGCCATTCATGGTATCAACCTCCCGTCGCATGACTGTAGCATGATCCATAGCATCTCTGATGTAGCTCAACGCAAGGTGATTCTCTTTGTAAACTTCCCAATTCTGTCCTCATGTTGCTAAAATCTTGAAAGAAACTGTGAAGGTCTCGGCTAATGCCCGTGGTCGTGGAGAAGATCTATCTCAGCAACTGATTATCCACGTCAGCTTGTGGTGCTGGAGCCCGTGGGTGTTCCTGATCTGCAGGGATTTGGCCTTGTTCTGCCTGCTGTCTACATCGTTCAATTTCTTGCTCTTCCCGGTGTTTAACCCGAGCCCTTGTCTGAGCGTCAAATGTAGTTCGTTTGATCATGGGGCTGAGTTTTTCAGGTAATTCTTCAGGTAGGAGGGCAACACCCGCAGCCCGACATATACCACTAATGAGGGTCGGGAATATCAAAGTGGAGCGGCGATCTCTCCAAGTTCCCAATGAGTGTAGTTGATTGTATATATGAGTAGCGAGATCAATCTTGTTCCCTCGAGCCAAGTGGTAGATGAATCCTGCTGTCTAATCTGGAAATGTAGTTCTATGTAATATGGGCTCAACATTGTGGCACATAAAGAGCCATAGAATGGCCATGGAAGGGGTAAGCTCAATCTGATGCCACTCGGTAGTTTCGAGGGGCCATGCAATCTCCCACCCCATTAAAACCTCAGCCACTTCATTCCAGTGAAGTCAATTGGGATAGGGACCACATTCTCCATGGTAAGCTGGTAGTAATCATGAATGACCTCGAGAGATAACATAATCCATTTCCCCCACACCCAAGTCTGCTGGAAATGCTCGGAGCCTGGCGTGTCAATGTCACTGTTGAAATTGCGAAGAACTCTCGGCATAAAGTCTCATAGAGTGGATGCGGTCTCTCCACTAACTTTTGCCACCCACAGAGCTGAATTAAATTAACCAAATCAAAACCTGGGAAGTCATCAAGCGTTTTCATATCGTGCCGCGGTAGTTGCAGTTAAGAATCGCTGAATTTCTCTCGCGAGCTCTCGAGTACGGGCTGTCCCAGTGGAGGAGCTTGCTTTTTCTTTCCCATGCAAAGTTCTTTTAGGTGGCACCCTGCAAAGTTTGTAAGATTACACTCATTAAGTTCGATGTGAAAAGAATAGGCAAGAAATGAGAAAATAAAATATGCATTGCACAAATCCCCCAAACTTTCCTAGATGCATGTGTAGCAACATGGTGTGCATTAGTCAAGATATGATGTTTAATTGAATTCAAGTATTTTGCCAATATGAAAAATGAAGTAAAACTCGGCATAACAATGCAATATTTCAGAATTCGGAACCATGACCGAGTGCGCACTTTCGGCCCTTGACATCATGGAGAATTATCAAAATTTCCCCGGACAATCTCTGAGCATATCAAAGTACTCATTGAAGTGTAGCAGATACTCGAATTTCAACTCAATTGGATGTCGTTTGGTATGTCAAATGAAGATGCAAAGTAAGGGACGGAGGATGCTGTGATGTGCGGTGACCTAGTTATGTGCCTATGTGGTGAAATGTGAAAGTGTTGTTTTCCAGTTCAAATTATTTGGGAATCCATGAAAATATATCTTGTGCCATGTTGGTGAATCAATGTATGTGTAGAAAAAAACGTAATTGTACACAAAAGGGTACTGTGGCATTTCATCAAACACTTGGTGAGCCTTATGTGAAAGTAACACTAAGTGAATGAAAATAATATCCAATTCATCCCAAAAGCATACAACACAATCACAACAACATCATCCCGACATGAACTAGCCCGTTCTTCCTCAATTCATAAAAAAAACGAATTCAAAAATGAATTTCCCAACAAAGAATAAAAAAAGGAAAACGAGAGAGAATGAGCAATACCTTACCTTGAAGTGGATGGCGTGATATACGGGATGAATGTCGTGGGATGCAAACGTGAGTGGATGGGAAGAATGAGTGTGTGAAATTGTTATATGAATCGTGAGGGGATTAGGGAGGTAAATCACGAAGAGAGGAAAAAATTTTGTGAAGAAATGAACCGGGTGTGATTTTAAAATCACACCCATCTCTGCCATGCGGACGGATGGTTCAAATGGCATGAGCCACTTGAGTTTCGGTACCCATGTGTGTGATCGCAGTTGAATTATTATTATTTTTTAATAAAAAAAATGACTTTGCATAGGAAGGAAAAAAAATAATAATAAGAATAAAATAAAATAAAACACATTTGATATCCCCAAAAATCCGACTTTTGACTAAAATTTTGGTTTTCAATTGATGAATTGACTTGGCTCTCAACGTCCCCAATTTTTCAAAAGCATACTTCTAAACATTCTGGGACGTGTATGGGTCTTAAACTTAGTACCCAAAACCAAATTTTTGTATTCAAAGTCATACATTGACATGTGAAATTTAGAAAACAAAATTTACCTCGAAATGCATGAATTCCACATCCAATCACCCAAACTACTCCAATCAACCCGAACTCGTATGTGATGCTTAGGTACTCGCGTGAACAGTGCTTGGATTCTTTTAACATGTATGGATGATCGATGACCACATAAAAATGCAAAATGAAATTGAAAAAAATATAATTCCTAATCTAATGCAAATAGCATAATAAATTAAATAAAAAGGATACAGTGGGTTGCCTCCCACCCAGCGCTAGGTTATAGTCGATAGCTCGACTATTCTGCAACTGCTTCATTCTGGCGTCTCGAGTTGAACGATGGACTTTTGGTTAGATTTGGTTAGAGAAGTCACCGCCCTAGTAGTGTTTCAGTCTTTGCCTATTAATAGTGAAGGTACCCTTAGTCTCATGACTTACTTGTATAGCCCCATATGGTAGAACTTTTGTGACAGTATAAGGACCTGACCACCTTGATCTTAGTTTTCCTGGGAAAAGCTTAAATCTCGAGTTATACAATAGCACTTTCTGCCCCACTTCGAACTCTCACCTCTGAATATGCATGTCGTGCCACTTCTTGGTTCGTTCCTTGTAAAGTTTTAAATTTTCGTAAGCTTCCATTCTAAACTCATCTAACTCATTCAGTTGCAGTAGACGCTTTTCACCAGCGGCACTTAGGTCCATATTTAACTGTTTCATAGCCCAATATGCCTGGTGTTCCATTTCTAGTTGCAGATGGCACGCTTTTCCAAAGACTAAGCGGTATGGAGACATGCCTATTGGGGTCTTGAATGCTGTTCTGTAAGCCCATAATGCATCGTCTAGCTTTTTAGACCAATCCTTTCTAGATGAGTTCACAGTGACCTCGAGTATTCTCTTCAGCTGCCGATTAGATACCTCAACTTGCCCGCTAATTTGTGGATGATATGGAGTAGCAACGCGGTGTTTAACGCTATATTTATTCAACAACTGCTCAAACTGACGATTACAGAAGTGCTTGCCCCCGTCGCTGATTATAGCCCACGGTGTGCCATATCGAGTGAAAATATATTTCTTCAAGAACCCTATTATTGCCTTTGAGTCATTTGTTGGCAGTGCAACTGCTTCCACCCATTTTGATATGTAATCCACTACTACCAAGATATACTGATTTGAGAACGAAGGGGGAAAGATCCCATGAAGTCAATTCCCCAAACATCAAATATCTCCATCTCCAAAATGTTATTCAGTGGCATTTCATTCCTCCTCGAGATATTCCCAGTGCGTTGACATCGGTCACACCTCTTGACAAACTCAAATGTGTCTCTAAACAGTGTAGGCTAGTAGAACCCTAATTGTAGAATTTTTGCAGCTGTTTTTGAAGCCCCAAAGTGCCCTACGTATGCAGATGAATGGCAGTGCTCGAGAATCTCATGTACTTCTTCCTCAGGTATGCATCTCCTTACTATCTGATCAGCCCCTTGTCTATAGAGAATTGGGTCCTCCCAAAAATAATACTTCAATTCGACGAAGAACTTTTTCCTCTGGTGACTCCAGTAGTCCGGTGGTGGGATAGAATTGGCCAAGTAATTGACGATATCTGCATACCAAGGTGCTTCATCTACTCTCAACATCTGCTCATCTGGGAAGATCTCATTGATGTCCACTAATTCTTCTGTCTCCCCAGGCTCTAATCGGGATAGGTGATCCGTTACTACATTCTCACTGCCTTTCTTGTCTCGTATCTCGATATCGAATTCTTGTAGCAATAGCACCCAACGAATCAACCTCGACTTTGCATCCTTCTTTGTGAGTAGATACTTCAATGTAGCATGATTTGTGTAGACGATGATTTTAGACCCGACAAGGTATGACCTGAATTTGTCGAATGCATATACTACAGCCAATAGCTCATTTTCAGTGGTGGCATAATTGATTTGTGCTTCATTTAGAGTCCTACTTGCATAGTAAATTACGTGAAAGATTTTGTTCATTTGTTGTCCTAATACTGCACCCACGGCGTGATCACTTGCATCATACATCAATTCAAAAGGGAGTTCTCAGTCTGGTGCCACAATTACTGGTGCTGTCGTAAGTTTCTCCTTTAAAGTGTTGAATGCTATGAGGCATTCTTCATTAAACTCAAAGGTTACGTCTTTCATTAGCAGATTGCATAACGGTTTAGTGACTTTCGAGAAATCTTTTATAAATCTCCTGTAGAACCCCGCATGCCCCAAGAAACTACGAACTCCTTTAACTGATGTAGGCGGTGGTAACTTCTCAATAACTTGAATTTTTGCCTTATCCACCTCAATTCCTTTTGCTGAGATTCGATACCCGAGTACAATGCCTTCTTGCACCATAAAGTGGCATTTCTCCCAATTTAAAACCAGGTTAGTCTCCTTGCATCTCTGTAAGACCAAATTCAGGTGCTCTAGACATTCATCGAATGAAGATCTAGAAGTCATCCATGAAAACTTCAATAAACCTTTCAATCATATCGGAGAATATCGCCATCATACATATCTAAAATGTGGCTGGAGCATTGCAAAGACCAAAATGCATCCTACGATAGGCAAAAGTACCATAGGGACAGGTGAAAGTGGTCTTCTCCTGATCTCCTGGTGTGACAGGTATCTGATTATAGCCCGAGTATCCATCAAGGAAACAGTAGTGTGAATGTCCAGCCAATCTCTCTAACATCTGATCAATGAATGGGAGGGGAAAATGATCCTTTCGTGTGGCTGCATTGAGTTTGCGATAGTCAATGCAAACTCTCCATCCCGTAACTGTTTTGGTGGGAATTAATTTATTCCTCTCATTTTTCACCACTGTGATTTCCCCTTTTTTCGGTACCACTTGAACTGGGCTAATCCATGCACTATCTAAAATTGGGTAGATAATTCCTGCATCCAGTAATTTCAGTATCTCTGCCCTGACCGCTTCCTTCATGTTCGGATTTAATCTTCTCTAACCCTCAATACTTGGCTTGCAGTTTTCCTCCATTAGAATTTTATGCATGCACAGAGAAGGGCTGATTCCTTTAATGTCAGCTATTGTACACCCAATCGCTGTCTTGTTCTCTCTGAGTACCCTGAGCAATTTTTCTTCCTCCACCTCACTGACTGTATTCAAAATGATTACTGGAAGTGTATCTGACTCCCCCAAATATGCATATCTGAGATGTGGCGGTAGTTGCTTGAGTTCTAAAACTGGTGGCTGCTGAATGGAAGGCAGTGGCTTTGTATTTCCCGTCCCCAGTTCCTCGAAGTGCCTCTTTCGGGTGTATGGCGGGTTGGTCTTCAAAAATCTTGCACATATTTCAACGTCAAGTGACTCTGACTGGACTGATTGGGATTGTGCAACACATGCCTCATAAGCATCAGATGGACCGTGTAGTAGGAATGTTTCCTATACTGCCTTGTCAATAATGTCAACTTGATAACAGCTGTCAGATTTTGCTGGTAGTTTCATTGCCTTAAATACATTGAACGATATCTGCTCCTCTCCCAATCTTAAAATCAATTGCCCCCTCTGAACATCAATTAACGCTCGCCCTGTTGCTAGAAATGGTTTGCTAAGTATCAATAGGACGTCCTTGTCTTCTTCCATGTCCAAGATAAGAAAATCCACTGGGAATATGAACTTCTCAACCTTGATAAGCACATATTCAATTATTCCTCTGGGATGTGTCAGTGACCTGTCAGCTAGCTGAAGTGTCACAGTGGTTGTTTTAGCTTCTCCCAAGCCAAGTTTCCTGAAAACAGACAGAGGCATTAAATTAATACTTGCACCGAGGTCACATAATGCTTTATCGAAATATACTTCACCGATTTTGTAAGGAACAGTAAAACTCCTTGGATTTTTTAGTTTTGGTAGGAGCTTATTCTGGATTCTGGCACTACATTCCTCCGTAAGCATAACTGTCTCATGGTCTTCCAGCTTGCGTTTATTTGATATGATATCTTTCAGAAATTTCGCGTAGCTAGGCATCTAAAACAGTGCATCGGCTATTGGGATGTTGATATGGAGCTTTTTGAAAACTTCTAGAATTTTTTTGTATTGTTGCTCCACTTTTTGCTTCTTCAACCGCTGTGAAAAGGGAATCGGAGGCTCGTAGGGGTTGACTGTGACTTTGGCCTTATCCTGTGACTCTTCTGAATTTTCCTTTGAACTTGATTCCTTTACATCACACCCGGTCTCCTGACATGGATTTCAGGCAATTGTACTCCACTTTGAGTTGTAATGGCCTTGACTTGCTCTTTAGGATTGATTTATGTTAATCTTGGTAAGTTACCTGGCGTTCTGCCAGTCAATGCGATGGCTAGCTGCCCCATCTGAGTTTCCAAATTTTTGATGGCCGCATTTTGATTTTGAAGTGTAGCTTCGGCTTTCTCCATAAATTTTCCTATCATATCTTCCAATTGAGGCCTCTTCTCTTGTTGTTGAAATTGCCCCAGTGGTTTATTCTGATTCTGGTTGCTCCAAGAGAAGTTGAGATGTTTCTTCCAGCTGGGATTGAAAGTCTCTCCATATTGATTGTGTTGCTGACGTTGTCCCCACTGTGTGCGTAGTCTGCTTGCTCAATTCCTTGCATGAGTATTGGGTAATCTGATGTTTTGTGCTCGGCTCCACATTCCTCACAACTGCTCTTCTTAGCTTGTGATGCTTGTAATATGCTTTCCACCTTGTGATACAGAGAGTCAATTTTTGTAGCTATTACTGAATAAGCGTCCACCTCGTAGACACCTGGAGTTTTCTTTGGGATAGCCCTCTCAGAAGACCACAAGGCTGATGTGGTAGCCATTCACTCAAATAATTCAAATGTCCCATCAACTGTTCGTGTGGATATTGAGCCATCTGATGTTGAATCCACCATGCTCTTATGGTATGGAAGTAATCCTGTGTAGAAGAATCGGATTTGGGTCTTTTTATCGAATCTATGCTGAGGGCACTTTCGGAGCATGTTTTTGAATTTGTTCCAGGCTTCGTCAAATGATTTAGTTTCTCCTTGATTGAATACTGATATGTCATGTCTCAGCTTCGCTATCTTGGCTGGAGAGAAAAACTTTGTGCAGAATTTGTGTGCCAGCTCATTCCATGTAGTGATACTTGCAACCAGGAGTGAATCCAACCATTCAAGTGCTCTGTCTCGTAACATATGTGGAAAAAGCCTTAACCTAATAGCGTCATCCGAAATTTCTTGGTATCTGAAATGTTGAGACATATCTAGAAATCGAGATACGTGTGTGTGTGGATTCTCCTCGACTTTGCCATAGAATTGGTGTCCATTTTGAAGCAGTTGTATTACCTTGGTCTTCAATTGAAAATTGGGCTGCCCAAACGGTGGATATACAATGCTGGATTGGCTTTGAATAACTTGAGGAGTCAAGAAGTCCCACAGATTCATGCTTGACATATTAGATAAATGACTAGATTTTGAGTATAAAATAGGAAAAGAATGATAACCTTCTATTGAATTAAACCGTAAACTGCCTTAAGATAGTTTGGTGATGGTTGAACTATTGTAAGAGAGCATTGAGATGAATGGAGGCTCCGTGCATAAATTTTATTGTGTGGATTGTCTAGACCAGTGATGTGAAAATTAGGTGAAAATCTTAAATTAAGGGTTAGTTTTGAAAACTAAATGTCTAGAACAATAAGGGCATAAAATAAATTTGTGAGAACAATACACTTCTTTTCATGCCTTTATGACTCGAGCAAGTAAGTCTGTAAGGATATTTTAAAATTTGGTGCCCTAAAGTCAACTGGTTTGGGAGTCACCGGCCTAAAGCTCGCTAAAAGGGTCATATAGAAAGCAAGAGAGAAAGAGGTTAATTGAAAGTCATTTGATCGAGCCTTTATAACTCAAGTAAATAAGCCTACAAGGGTTTAAAACTTGGTGCCCTAAAACCAACTGGTTTGGGAGTCACCGGCCTAAAACTCGTTACATGGATTATATAGAAAGTAAATGAGAAGATGAAACTAAAAAAAAAATGAGAAGCTTAATAATAAAATCAGAAAAATTAGAGAAAAGAGAGATGATAACATGAAGAAAAACCCTTGGACATTTGGTTAAAGAAACTATACCTTTGAGGCAAGGCAAGTAACCTAGTTTAATCTTGAGAGTCGAAGCGATCAAACTTAGAAGAGCCTTCACTTGTTGAAATGCAAACTTGTGATAGTGAGATTAATCCAAACTACGAGAGGGTGAGGACTATAGCTATGTGAATTCCTAGTTTCGAAACACAACCCTGGGATAATTGAGTGAAAAAAACATAAGTTTAGGGGGTTGTGTATCTCTCGAGCGAGTAAGGATAGAATTGACCACTCGGGGTCAGGACTCAAATTCATCATGAACCTAATATGTTAGCATGAATTCACACACACACGTCAAGTACGCATTTAACAGGCGAATGTTGATGTCATTTTTACACTGATATATCTTCATCAAATCAAACACTTAGTCCAATCTTGAGCCGTAGCAGAGTATTAAGTCATGTTTGTTCAGAATTTAGTCACCATCTTATTTGAGGACAAACAATAGTTCAAGTTTTGGGAGTTTGATAAGTGTGTTTTTGCACACTTATTTAGGTCACAAACATGACTTAATTACGATTAAAATGATTGAATTATGACTTAATTTCGTTACATTTGTGAATTGTAGGTAACACCGATGAACATGGTGAAATACATGAGAAAAGACGCGAAAAAGGACTAAAATGACACAAAATGAAATTTCAAGTACCAAGGTGTAATTACCCAAAAGTTGACCCGATGAACAAATCAAGAAATTGAGTTTGCCAAATACAAATTGATGACATTTTGGGATGATGGAATGTGAAGAATGAAGAAAAAATGCAAAGAAGTGGAAGATTCAAGTAGAGGGACCAATTTGCAGAAAATGAAAGTTGAATTCTACCATGCGGTCACATGGTAGAACTCTCGTGTGGCCGCATGAAGGGATGCAGTGAATTCAATTGGAAATATAGAATAACTATGCGGTCGCACGGATTAAAACCATGCGGTCGCATGGCTATTTGTCCGGCGCGATTTTTTTCTTTCCTTATACGATTGAAACACCTTTGGTAACCTAATTTTCCATGGGATATAAATATCAAAAACATTCCAGAGATGACCAGAATGCAATTGGAGGCCGAAAAACACTTCTTGGAGAGGATTTGAGCGCAAGAACAAGGATTGGCACGAAGAACTTCAAAATTTCATAACCCGGTGATATCTTTTATTCAAAACATGATGTATTTTGTTATTTTAAATATGCTAGGCTAGATTATTATTATGCTAGGAGATCGATAAATCATGTGATTTGAATTTTAATATCCTCGTTTTGCAATTTGATGTTAAGACACAATTTTTATTGTTTTGAATGATTTATATGCAATTAATGTTTCCGCAATTAAGGGCTCGTAATTGTGTGAATTTAAATGATTTATTCTTGCATTCGAGAGAATTGGAATAGATTTGACATAATATAAATCATCGTAGGGTCCGATAATTGATAGAAATATACCGCTATACCCTACGTGAATCTTTAAGTGTTCATAAAACTGCATGCATTTTTACATACGCTCATGTCATAGAAATATAGACCGATGGTATGTAGAAATAGGTTTGATACATCTCGAGAGAGAGTATTTGATAAACTTAGGAACATTGATTCGTCACAATTGAAGTGTGTTGTCATATTGTGAAACTAGGGTTTAAAGTGATAATTGCATGAAAATTCGTGATTCTAGCGTATTTAATTTCTATTGATTATTACAACGTGCGTTCTCGACTTTTAGTTTATTTCTAGAGTGTTAAAATATTGTTTTAAGTTTTAATTTCAATTTACTCATTAAATTTGCGTAATTAGGGTTTCTTTTTGAAATTAGAGTTTTTAATTAGGTCCATATCCACTTTGACAATCCAGTTTCGGTTAAGGCTACGTT